CGCAATGCATTATATTATATTATGTTATACCTATATACCGTGGTGTACACAGTCGTAACTCAAAGGCCGTCCGGCTTGTATACATACATGTATACATATATATAATAGCAGCCGGATTATGTGGCCGGAGCTGTTTTACGAGGTTTCCGTCGCCCAGGGGTTAAAACTAACCCTCACCCCCTCTCCGCTTGTATCCCTCCTCTCGTTGATCGCACCGATTTCTCGAGGAATTCACAAGCAAAGTTGCCGACCGAATGGCTATTTTGGCGGCTTGTAAGTGCGGGACGGTCTTGCCGATCACCATAACGCACACATGCGGACACTCAAGTCTGGTCCAAAACCGCCTTATTGCTATAATTACTCGGGTCCTTGGGTACATAAGTACACAGGCGCGGGGTGATTATACATTGAGCATTATAACGTCGTACCGATCGCCTCCCTCATGCGGCATATTAATATTAAATACGTGTCCCGGTGTGTCCGATAAGGAATATAAATACCCCTAGACGATGGTTTTCTTGGACCGAAATTTACCATATGGGACCCGGTATCGGTATCCGGTCAATTGGTTACACGTGTTTAACTCCACCGCCGCTTTGTCTTGATATTGTTTATACAATATATATTTATTATTCGTAAGCGCCAGCGATCCTCCAATACCATAGTATACCTATATACTCATGATCAAAACCAGGTTAAACGGCTGTTTCGTCTTGTACATAATTCGTGTATAAGAAAATCATATTAAATTCACGGGGCCGGGAAACGCGTATCCCCCTTTGTATAACAATTACCCCGCGCGCTTGTTTTCCTTCGGAGTTAAACACCTTGTAAAGAGATTTCTTTTAATTTTCGTTTGGTTAAGCAAAATCGCTTTGTTGTGTGTATCTTAACGGCGGCGGCGGCGGAGGGAAAACAAAAACACGGCGACTCGCAAAACACTATGGAAAACGAACCGAAAGGGGGATTCCTCGCGCAGTCACTTTTGTGCCCGTCCTCTTTTTGTCGTCTAATAGGTCGTGTTAAACGCGAATTATATAAAGCCTTCCAAGACGGCGACGACGGAGTGTTGTCATTTAAAATTCACTTAAAAACGGCTACGTGGAAAGGGTGGAGACGGCGGTACCGCACCCTTTTTACCGGCTTAGCAAAGCGTAAATACAAAGGAGCGCAACTTTCCGACCAAAAAAACATTGGCCGCCATCAGAAAACTTATTCTCGAGTACATCCGCAAGAGTTTTTAAGCCGAAACGCCGGCACATTAATATAAGATTTCCGATTCGTTTTCCCGCCCTCTCCACACACGCATAACATATTTATCGATTACTTTGCTATCTATAATAATATATTTAATTTCACCTCCCCTGCCGCCCGGATCGATAAATAATAATAATATTGTATAATAAATATAGCTCGAGGTGTTTCTGCGACGACCGTTTGCGCGTTGCCTCGAATACTATACACGATATTATAGAGTATATAACGCATAAAAAACCTATATATCTATTGTATATATCGAATTTATTGAATATAATCCACACGTATAGGTACAATACTCGTCGGTTTTATATGCGTATTTTATGATAAGCCTTTACAATATGGCACACGCCGGAATTATTATTACCCTGTTATTATTCTAGGGGTCGCGGCGGCGATAAGACCAACGCATAAAAGTAAATGACACGAAAATCGTCGTCTTATATTTGTGTGCGTGTGTGTGTGATATACTCTTCTTTATAGTATGACTGTACAGCGTACGACGGATGACTTGTCGGTGTATACCTATAGCCAAGACCGGAGAGGGTGTTGGTGTATCCGACGACTGGAAAAATTGACTTTTTCCCGCCACCGCCATTGTTCCCCTCGCCTTGCACCCGTTCCGGGTTTATACGTTTTTTTCCAAATGCAATTTCTTTATCAAATGACAAAACGACTGGAAAAATCATTTTCGCCACGCTCCGCCCCGCGTCCGTCGGATAACAACGGGTACATTAAACGCCAAGCACGGGAGTAAATATGATTTTGCGCTTTACCTACTATATAATATAATAATAATGCGTCGAGGGCGCTTATTTTTCTTTTTATATAAATATAGGTATACATAATATAATGTTTTATTCGTTTCTTATTACTTTTATGTATCTTCTTTTTTTTTTCCATCCACCCCCATTGTCTCGTTTTCCGAGATAAACGCAAATTCGAGTTGTCACGAGTTAACACACCCGACCGAGACGGTGTTCGATGGTATTGAGTTACACCGGCCTAACCGTCTATTCCGGTACGATGCATTCGAAAACGGCATGACACTTCGGTTTCTACTTAAATTATCATTGTTCGACTGAACCGGTTAGAGGCGTATAGGTGCATACAAGAAGATAGCATTATATTATTATTACTACGGTCCGTTGTATACTTAATGAATCCAAAACGACAAAAAATCTCAAAGCAGATGGCACGGTCGATACAAAATATTATTGTTGTAAAATTTAGTGAATGTTTCTTCGACGGTATATATTAATTGTATTAGCTTGAACGCATTGGAATATGAATTGTAACGATAAAAGGTTTGCGCTTTTTGTTCAATTAATAGGTAATTTTGTGTAAGCGCTTTTTAAAAATTATTAAAACTTCTATGACTTTGCCTAAAATGAACAACTCGCAAAACTATCTTTCACATAATTTAACCGTTTAGTATTTTTGACGTCTCTCCAAACATTGTAGTTAAATATGACACTCTTTCTTGCGCCAATATAATAACGGCGATGGTTTCACTGTATTTGCGCTTATAATTATTTTTTATTTCTCGTTCGGCGGCCGTTTATACGCTACAACGGTCTAAGCACTCGCGCCGTTCATAAGATGTATAATATTTTCCAACTTCCTTTACGGCCTGGTAAGAGTCATAAAAAAACTCGCAAAGACTCGACGCGCATAATTTACGGTTAAGCGCCTCCTCGATAATTGTGTTTTCCAGTTTGGAAATTAACGTCTTGAGAATTATTCATGCCGATTCCGTTAAAAGCTTTGCCGGCGCGCGCGGAAAGGTTAAAAGCTAAAAACAAGAAGTATTCCCGTAGTACAAGGGTTGGAGTTGTTGTTGTTGTTTATTTTTTTTTTTTTTGTGCCTTTTTTTAAACGAGGGAGCATTTCTTTTCTTTTTTTTTTATTCTCCGTCGTTAAAAGGGTGAAGAAATTGTTACACGAAAATTAGCCTTTAACGCGATTTCCCGTGCCGGACGAGTGAAAAGCGCGGTCGTTTTTGCCGGCAAACACAATAATTGTTCTTTGGAGAAAAATCCGTTTTTAATACCGTCGTCCCGCGTCGGTTATGATATTATAATGTTATTTTTTCCCCTTTCTTTCTTAAATATTCATTCTGCGACCGGGTTATAATATGTAGGTATACGTGTGTAACTCTTGTGCGTTTTAACGACACCGCCTCTGTTAAATGTGCCGTGCAATATGCAAAAGATAATATTGGGTGGGGCGAAAAAACGATTTTTCTTTTTTAACATTCTAAGAGGGCCAGTCCGAATTAGACCGGCGACCCTCTCGAAAACGGATTACGTTGCCAAAGCCGGAAAAACCTATAGCCACCACTGTTTAAGGTCGTCCAATTACCGGTGGCGGGTCTCGGGAGACAGAGGTGGTGGCTCTTTTAATTGTATTCCTTTGCGGGGAAAATAATTATAAAGGAAATGCGAGAACGTCTTGACGAATTTTCCTCGGCCGTATTTTTTTTGTTCCGTTCTTCTCTTGACGCCCGTAGGAGTACTATGGCTGGTCGTTGTTGTCGTCTGAAGTTTAAATGGAAATTATTAAGAACTAAATAATAATAACTATATAAGTATATACATACATATTGTATACCGCGCGGTGAAAAAGGACTGTCTTCTCGTCGTTTTCGATTAACGCCCCGACCGCTATCGCCGTTGATTGGATTACTTTTCGCGTTAATGCACTTTTGCTCGCTGGATATTTAAACACCAAACGAAGGTTTTTTATTTTGTTGTTTGTATTTACACTGTTCAATTTTTATCGATCGAAGTTTTGGGCGGCCGTTTGAGCACCGCGATGGCCCGTCTTATAACAACCACCCAAACCCGATCTGCCGTCGAATCGAAACGAAACGATCATTACCGTGTGTATATAATATAGTCGATGGTCGTAATTAAGAAACCGGCGGTGCTGCTCCGTCATTGTATTCGAATTATTATTATTATTATTATTTATTAATCTTGCATCTGTGTGCGGCCTTGCCCACTAAATCCACCCATCGACCAATGGCATCGCGCCCGTGACCGCATGTTCCATACTCGAATAAAAATATTTTCCGTTTAACATTATTACATTTTGGTGTTCTTCGGCTCTCGGTATAGTGTCTATATATTCTCTTTTTAAATTATAGGAAATATACATTCAACTTGTACCGTGCCCGTCGCCCATTGTGTTCGTTGCCGGAGGTGCATTTGTGTGCGTATAATAGTAGTATAGAATATAATAATAATGATCTGTACAGATGTGTACACTGCGCAGTCTATACAGTACATAAAATATGTCCTTTATTGTGTGTGCGTTCATTCGCGAATGTCTGACTTCTTTTCCAATGTTGTACGTATATATGTATATAAATATATTATTTCTTTGATGAGAAACCACCACCCGGGTGCGGTCGGTGGTGCGCGAAAAATAATATTATATAATTTCGTTGTGTTTGTTGAATCGAAAGAAATGCGTAGACTGCATCGGGCCAGAATCGTTCTCGTATTCGTATATTTGTCCGGTCCGATTAAGCGATTTACCGGACCGTTAACAACATATCAGAACGGTTGTAAGGGAAAAAAATATGATAATAATAATAATAAATAAATAATAACAATGACTACACGTGCATTATGAGCAACTTCGTATTATCATTACGTTTTGTTGTTGTATTAGATTATTTGTATGAAACGAACCGAGTTTTTGATTGATGGTATTTTATTGTTTTTGTGTTTCAGTTATTTACCAGAAGCGTCTGCGCAGGGAAAGGAAAGCTAGAAAACGCGTGCAGGACCAGCTGGAGCAAGAGATGAAACGCAGGGCCCAACTAGAGGACATGATCAAAGCGGCCGGCGCACCGGCAGACGCCCTCCGCGTTTTAACAGGTAATAACCGAGCACAACTCCTCGATTCGATAACACTTATCATGCATCAACGTAACAATTGGAGTGGGAGGCAGCTAGGAAAGTGTAGACCATTTGTGTTTCCAAACGAAATTACAGCAATCAAACCGCGGCGTAGACCTCTTGCCTTTTTACCCAAATTCTCTGAGAGCTTTGAGCGTTGAATCGTTTAGTCACGAATCACCCCGCTCATTTAAGTCTATAGTCCTAATCGACTTTATCTAACATTATAATAGCTTTTGTAAAACAAAATTTTTTGTATGCATTATTATTTTTTGGAGTATATATGATGCCATACTCTGGTGGCGTTTCTATACAAATCATTCAGTTTATTAGTAGTACATATGTTTTTTTTTTTATTTAACGTCAACAGAGAACAACAACGAGAAACCCAGAGACAGATCGGAACAATCACAGAGCCCGAATTACCCGTCAGCCGGGCAAGGACAACGGGGATCGGAGACGTCCAGCGATAAACAATGGAACTACTCGGGATTGGATCTGATGAGTTCATCCGGTGCCGCGGCCTTTTGGCAAAACTATTCCGGTAAGTAGAACATAATAATAATATAGTAATTATTACTCGACGTACAAAGACATTTACACGGGTGTATATTGTAAGTACGAACGGAAGATAAAAAAAAAAAAGAGGGGACAAGGAAATTGTCTTTACGGCTGTTAACGGCAAAACAAACATAAACCGTGATTAAGTCGATGTGGTTTTTTATACATATATTTTTTTTTCAAATTTACATTTCTCCTCGGCTCGGGTTAGTTATGTATTCATGAATCCGGGCTTAGTAGGTATATAGACATAAGTTTTCACGTAGGGCTGCCAGTGTACCACATATTATTCAAAACTTGCATTATATTATATGTGTCGGTTTGTTGTAATGAGAATTTTATGATTGTGTGTGACGTCCGCCCCATATTTGTTGCCTCCGCCGCTGTTGCTTTTGCTGCTCAGAAATTCCATTTGCAATAAACACCGAGGTTAACCCCCTCGCTTTGGTCGTACATAGTAGTTGTGCTACACAGTACAAACGCCGTTGCAATTGACCCTTTACACAAGTATATATCACAGTGTATACTTTTTCCTACCCCTAACTCCCTGCTTAAACCCTTTGGTGCTGCGTTCAATTCACACTGGTACCAAATTAACCACCAAAAACGGTATGCATATTTTAAAATAAAGTCAGGAAATTCCAGCCGTTTCACGGCTTTGCAAGCGGAAAATGTGAAGTGACAATCGTTAAAAAAAAAAAAGGGTTTCTCTGCCAAATTAAATGCGACGTTAAGTATTTATACAGCGGAGCACAGTGGCGCGTTTGTCGTTCAAAAACCCAGCTGTTCTACTGGCCTACCACCTAGGTGTCTGAGTATACAAGTCTCTACAAAACTTTTAGTGTAACATTATTTAGGTCTTATGATGTGACGGTTGTAAGCTAAACCGGGCGTTTTTAATATTTTGGAAGGTGTGTTTTATTTTATTCCGTTACCGTTTGCCATAAAAGAGAAACGCATTTAAGTGACTACTCCAACTGCCGCTGTTGCAAAACAAAAAAATTATACAAAAAAATAAAAATAACTCAAAGATAATCTTTTTTCAAACACGCCGAGCGACAAAAGGTCGGAAAACCAAAGATGAGAAAGAGAGGAAAACGCTCGCGTTATTTATTCAATTTCACGGTTCAGCCGTTTCGGAAAAAGCGATTATTTTTTATTTTTTTACATGATATCTCCTCTTCAACCACCCCCGTTTTGACTATCCACGATTTAATATTCCTCGTCTCCGGGCGTTGTTGTACGACAATCTTAAACATGTACTCGGAAGCCGAATTACAATTTAATTTCGTAACATGCCAACTCCACTGTATACGATTACTGGTGTCGCCTTGGAAAAAGAAACAAGATTTACACAAAGGCTTTTTATATGGCCACTAATGAGAGCGACACTGGAGGAACGCATAAAAATCTAATTTCGCGTAGAACTCATATCATCTCGTCTCGAGTAGGTTGGCGATGCAATAATGGTCTTAAAATATCCTGTCTGCGAATCTTGTTATAGTGATATTGGTAATGTTGTAAGCGTGCAATTATTATGTTCATTCTTATACCTCCAAGAGCAATTCACCTATTTTTCCAAATTTCAGCAGAAAACGATATTAGCGCAGTTTAATCTAAAAAACCGTGACGGGTTTTACCCTTAGGCTAAATATTAACAACGTTAACCATGCAGTATTCATGTCAAACACCCGCAAGATCTAGTGGATCATTTTTTCTCAATTCAAAGGTAATTGTCGGATTCTCAAAAATTAGGTCTGCGGATCGTTCAAAGGTCTGTATATTTATAAAAGTGTAAATGTATTTGTACGTTTTGATTGCTCGTTGATGGTTCTATATGAACTTTATAAGACTTTTCACTTTTTGTAAAACATCAACTTGTTTTTCTCTGACCTGGCGCGCACATTTGCGGTATACGACGATGGTTATAATAATAGTAATAATGATATATTATTTAATATTATGCGATTAGAGTATTGAATAATTCCAGAACGATTGCGCGGTCGTGTGTCGAATTCGCCGGTAAACTACGTCAAGTATGCGACTATACAGGCATTCCACCGACATAAGAAACGTCATATACATATTGTACACTGTACACAGCCACCTTAAGGGCCTCCCCGAAAAGTACAATGATCGTTTATGTATTGTAATGTCACCGATGCGCCGACGGAAGGCTATATGTGCAATGTAATAATATTTATTATCAGTGTGTGTGTGTGTGTGAGAGAATATTCGGCTGTACAACCGAGTGAAATGTCTTCTTCATATAGTTTTTTTTTTTTTTACAGTTAGACCGTTTCAAATTTAAATCGAATGCTACATATATATTATTATTATTATAACACACCGATTGTACAAATAAAACACCTATCGTCCGGCGGCGGCGGCGCAGGTTTTTGACGGATGAAATTGACAAATTCGACACGGGGTTTGTCATCGTTTGTGTCAGCTTATACACTAGTCGGTCGACACACAACGTTATTTGAGGAATCATACTGATATATTAATAATAATAATAATAATATTTCCAATGCCGATGTACAATACGCGCCACACCAATCATTGTCCACCGCTGCTCGCCGAGTGTTACATTGTCAAAAATCACAACAAACAAATCGTATACGATATTATATTATTACTGTTGTTGGGTATTATTATTATTATTGTTGTTGTATAGCGTTCGATATGTGTTTTTTCTTTCTCTTCGTAGTAATCGATTTCGAATGTGATGGGAAAAAACTATTAACCGGTCAATTGCGTGCGGTAGTTCCCATCACACACGGCCACAACTGCACGTCCATCGCCGTACACGTTAGTGTATAATATACACTATCATATATTATTATTATTTATTATCTTACCGAAGGGGAAACGCGAACCGATCAGTTGGCTTTTTTTGTAGGGACCGCGCGCGTTAGTTTTTTTTTTTTTGTAGCTACCTAAAAAGCTCATTAAAGTAATTGAATTACTTGGTGAACCGTACGTTTTTAATTTGCGGTTTTCGTTATTAGTAGTAATTTTTTTGGGAAAATTGTTTTTTTTTTTTGCTTTTACACGAATTGATTGGGATTTAAGCCGAACGCGGTGTCGGATGAACGTGACGGCCAGAATGCGTTTTGCACACCTGAAGTAACGCCGAACCCATTATATTCGTTGAGTTATTAAAAATTAAAAAAATAGTAATAATAATACTATTATGCTAACGTGCACAGGCCGGCGATAACCGGCAGAAACTGTAGCGGCGATGTAGTGAAATAACACGAGGTTAGAGATGGGTTCCACATATAGGTACCTACCCGTCCGGTCTACCTGTGTGTGTGTGTGTGTATTTACAATAAACGGGAAAACTATACAACAACAACAAAGTCGACGTCGGGGCAGATTACATATTTTCTTTTCATACGCATTCCAAAATTGGAAAAACGAAAGTAATTCCGAAAAAATATTATCCATCTTCGGAAACGTTTATTTTTTTTATTATTGGATATTCAAATGCACCCTTTTCCTTTCTTTACCGTTGCCTGACTCTCTCGCTATGGTTTCCCCTTTACATCGGCCGTCTTCAAGTGGCGTAACAAGTTTTTTTTTTATTATTATTATTATTTCCATTCAAATTCCCGCCTCCGTTAAAACACACACACACACGGGCGGTATTTGCCGAAAGCGTTGGCTTACGAGCACTCCCGGGTGGTTTTTTTCTTTAGTCGTCAAGTGTGTGTTTTTCGCTGTCGCGGTAATTTTTTATTTTATTTTATACTTCCCTCCAAACCCAGCGATCAGTAGCTTATATGTATATGCAAATTGACTGGCGGTTAATCGTCAAAAAACTATATTACATAACAAACGAGCTGCTCCGGGGAAAGACTATTAAAAAAGGGGCTCGAGCAACACGCAGCGTCGTCGTCGGTGTTAGGGCGGTTGGCATATCAAATGAGTTGTAGAAACTTGGTCGCGCTTTAAGGTGCACCGCGGGTTAGACGCTGCAAATATCCATGTGTGATATATTATTATTATAATACGGGGCGGATGCTAAAGTATTAGGTACACTATAAAGCTCGTCTTTGGCACAAGTATATTATATAATAATATGATGTGAACTCGGACGGATCCCTCGCGTCATCGCCAACGCTTCGGACTTACATTAGGCGGTTTAACGTCCGGCCACCAAAAATGAGCGTAATATTATTTAATATTAATAACGCGATAATAATACACATACCCAGGTATAATACAATACACGACCATATTATAACTATAGCGCGCTTAGCTTATCCCTTTGTCCGTCGTCAAACTTTCTTATGCGCACAAAACATTTTCCGAATGTGCCGGTGGTCCTCCGTAATTAAAGCCAAAACTTGCCGAAGTCTCTTTTGTTTTCCTACGTATATATATCTAGTTGTAGTTCGTCAAGTCAAGGCAAAGCCGCACAACATTCTATGTACATGTTCATCCGTCCCTCGTATAATATATGTATACAATATAATAATGTATAATGCCCGTCAACGCGAGTAAGACGATCCCGTTGACCGTTGATGATGTTATTATTTTATAATTACACTTGCTATAGTCGACCGAGAATCGGATTGAACTCGTGAGAGAGAGAGAGAGATATTAATTTCTTCATCGTGATCAGTTATGTATACATGTGTTTTGTATGTACGTATATATATGCGGTTTTCTCTCTAATTTGACGAATCCTCCCCGACGGTTCCTTAGCAACACGCACCCTTATATTATTATTATTATTATAGTGAATTAAGCTCGGATTACGGTGGCAGTCGTTATAGGTATAATATGTACATTGATATAATATAATATTAACCGCCCGTGCAGCAATCGTACACAGTCTCTCTCCCGTGCCCTCACACGGTAATTAACATGACGTGCTGCGGCGTGTGTGTATGTGTGCAATTGTAAATAATAATTAAAACCGAGAAATGAAACCCTCAGGCTTGTGTGTAAGCGATTCGGAAGTAACATTTTCCCCGACCCTGTGTACATGCAGTCGGGCTTTTGCAAAGTCGCACGGAGGATATGCATGGTTTTGCTTCTTAAAATATTTTCCTTGTATTATTTACCGGCCGCGGTATAATTTCACATGCAAACGTCTACTTAACTCGAATGTGTGTATGTGTGTTACCGCGTGGCCCGAGGGGTTTGGCGTGAACGGCAGCAGTAAAAAGCAATAACAATAATAAAATATACACGGGTTATAACGGGTAAAGGAAGGAAGGAGAGAAAAAAAAGAATAACGCGTTAAGAGCATAGGAGGCGGAAGAGCCGGAGGATGTTGGAGTTGCCGATTTATGCAGTATAAACGTTTTCCGGGCAAATTCGCATTATGAACCGTATTATAAATGCATAGATGCGTTTTGCATAAGATGATACGCCCCAAGGCGTCTCTATACTTATACATATAATAATAATAATAATACCAACCCCTCGCGTGCGTCGTTGTGCCGACAATGACATTTGCCGGCTATTCGATTATACTGTACATAGTGTAAGATTGGCCCACCCTCCGCAGTCGCTCTCCGTTCATTGTAAATCAAAGTAAAGGGCAAAAAAACAAAATTATAACGCTTTTTTTATTTTATTTTGCAGAAACCTTTGCGCAAGAACTCGATCTGGAACGAAAAGCAAGACAACAACAGTCTGCTCAACAGAACCAACAGCAGAGCCAACATTCAGACAGAGACATTAAGTCGCCCGTTCCAGGTACAGCATAAACATTTTTTACATTATACATTTATAATATTTATCTAATAGCTCTTTGAAATATATACTATTTTTAAAAGTGCCCTTTAAAAAAAAACACTGGTGTTAGTCTAGTAAAATAATCGCAATGAATATGTATTTTATAACTTATTATAAAAACTTTTCCTCTCCGTTAAGTCAATATTATACTAAGACTGATTTTAAAATTATACGTTTTTTTCAGTAAATTCCTAATTTAGTAATGTTTAATTTATTTTCATAACTCAAATTAAATCAACTATTGCACAGAAAAAAAAGCATAGTTGGTCCAACTAAAATAATAATATAATATGTTAATATAGGGACACAATAAATTTCTAGTTGAAATAACTGAATAAATAGTTGGCCCAACTAAATTATTATTTGGCCGAACTAAATGTATAGTTAATTCAACTAAAAATTTAGTTGGACCAACTATGTATTTTTTTTCCGTGTGCTACATTAAATACAATTAATATAATTCCTTAATAAAATAACTTAAAATAGAAAACCAAACATAATATTTAAAATGCATATTGTTATTACAAAATAGAACCCAATAAAACCTAACACTAAATTGTATATTTAATCGGGTTTTTAATAAAAATTAAAAAAACTCAAACCGTAAAAACGTACCTATTAAGTTTTGAAAGAAACTTTTTTAAGTTTAAGTTAAATATTGTTACACAGCAAAACGGGCGATATAACCTATATCTATAAACTAAATATTACTATTTGGCATTACCGAAATTGAATACTTCGAAACGTTCTGTATTGTTTTTTAATTGCCGTAAACGACTATACATAATGCGCGCACTGCACACACTCGACGGAAGTGTTCCCCTCTCTGGTATAATGTTGTTTTCTAATTTCCAAACTTTCCGTTGGAACTCTCCTGGCCCACCGCCCCCGCACTGTGTCGGGGTACGACGGTTTTTCTTATATAATATTATATTATAATAATGAAAGTTCGATATCCGCGGTGGTGCTTTAATAACGTATACACGTCGGCGGCGTGTTGAATATCAATTTTCCAAAGACTCTTATATACACACTTACTGCCCTGTCACACCCTACCGTCCAAATAACGACAACGCCACCACCCCCGTCCCCTCTCACATCTCATCACCGCCCACCAACACATTTCCCAACTGGAGTCAAACTGGATGTGTGTGTGTATATCGAGAAATTCTGTGTCTGTGCGCTCGGAAAACAATCAATCATAAAGCTCCAGGGAAAAGCCAATTTATATATATATATATATTATATAGTTTCCTTCTGTTTCCGACAGCAATTGAGTTGTAAACCGGGTTATATCCTGTTTGTGTGTGTACATAATATAACCTAAGAAACTTCATATACACCGTGTATTGTATGTACAGTCTTGAGGGTAATTTTTTGTCTTGTCAGTTACATATAATATGAATGTTGGTACCGTATACGTACCCTCACCGAGCCGTCCGTATATACAATATTATTAATAATATTTTTATAATATCATGTAATCAACATTTGCCGAATGTAAATGAATATTTTTTTTATTTCCTTTTTTGTTTGTTTATTGTTTTACAGACAGCAGAGCGAAATTCTTCAACAATTCCGTATTGTTCAGCACGGCGACATAATGCGCGGACCATAAGCGTTATTTTCGATTTGTATACATACGATGTACTTATAAACAATATTAGTGACGATTTTTTTTTTTTTTTTGTATAAAATATTATTTTTTACCTAAGTAAATTTACGGGCTTTTAACACTCGTCGATACATTATATTATATTTATTATATATTATTATTATTATTATTATATATATATAGTGTATTTAAATATATTATTATTATACACGTTTAATATTTAGGCATAATTATAATAATATAATATGTATCGGTTTATATGCAAACTTATTTTGTAAAGAAACTTAATAAAAAGGTACGCAGCGGCGAATATACGATTATCGGGTAATTTATTATATTACAAATGATAAGAAGTTTTACCTAATGAAAAATATGTTAGATATATTATGCGATCTCAGAATAGAACAAACGCGAAAAATAATAATTTTGACTTTTTAATAGAATAAAACAAAAAATCCATTAACCTTTGCCAGGCAGCGCCGGGGATCCTCTAAATGCGACTAAGATTGATATAGAGTCCAAGTTATTTTCAGTACCTAACTTTGATTGTACAGACTGATTTTTAGAAAAAATGTCTATATTGTAATTTTCTATAATATGTGTAATACTATTACTATCATAATTATTATTTTGTATTTGTACATATGAATATTTATAATATACATAATACCGCGATGTGTGTTTGTTGAAGACGATTCGGATAAAACGTCCAAACATTTCAGTATGTAAATAATGTCGTTTAGTATATAAAATAGTTCCTTCAGTTCTTGCATTATATATTATGGAACATATTTTCGCTCTTCACGTAATACCTAATGTAAAAAATAAAGATACATTTGTTTTTTTTTATCAATCTTTAAATAGTGTATTATTGTAAAATACCAACTACGGCTAAACGTAAGAACCCCTCTAAAGAGTTTCGCGCGTTTTTGTATAAAAGTATTTAATTTTTAATACGTACATAATAATGTAAAACGTATCAATGTTAGTTTATTAATTTATTACCTACTTAATTTTTATAAATTATATTATATAATGTTTGTAATAGAAAAAAGTTTTTAAAATACGGTTGTAGATAAAACCAAAGAATATAAGAAAAAATAAAACATAAAAAAAAAATGATAATTTAAATAATTAAAAAAAAAACATATACTATAGCTAACGTTTAGTCAGTAAAAAATTTACAATTTCATTTTTCTGTATAAATTATTACATACTACATAAATTATTATGATTAAAAATATATTATATACATTATAATATAATAATAGTTATGGACTATATAGGCTATGCTACTATTGTACTAAATTGATTATGGTATTGTCCAATTATATGTGTGTGTGTACATTTATCGAATAAGTATATTATTAGATAACAATGATGATATAATTATAATTATTTATGTATAATTCTAAGCGAATATTATTTATATACATTCATATATAAATTATGTAAAGTCTTAACTTGTTCGCGGAAATCATTAAATGTGCACAATACGTATATATTATTATATACATGAAAATGCGTTTTATTATTTTTTTATACGCTGTTTCCTCTATCTCTTTCCTTGTTGTTTCCGAATTTTCTGGTACACAGACCGATAGTCTGATCCTACGATGAGTTTTTTACTTCTTATGGCGATATTGGTGAGGTTATCGCACATGTCTATTGGAGACGTCGAGTATACCTATACGGCGGTGGTTGGAAATACAAGAACAATGCCACTGTTTGTATCTAATATACATACTTATCAATTTGGAGTTAACGCTATTTGATGACCTGTGGTCGTCGGCTTTTTTTTTTTTTATAACATGTTATTCAATCCGCGCTATCGCATAATAATAATAAAATAATTTATAATATTGGAACGCGTTACATTTTTGTACAGTGCATAGAATTGTAATTATTATTATTATGTTTTACCTACACATTGACGGACAACCCTGGGGCTACCGAAATGTGTAAAAAAAAAAAATGTAATTCTTTACATTTTTTATTATTATTATTATCCAAATAATTATTGTTATAATAATAATAATAGCAGTAGGTTTAACGGAAGAGTGGTGCTTCGAAAACACAAACGGGACGGACAAGGAAACCTGCCGGGGCCAATAACTCGTTGTTTATATTCAAATGGTACACGACCTCTAGTCCTGTTCACCCACCCATCGCCAACTCGCTCTCATACCACCGCCATAATATCAAAAGAACAAAACATAAAATACATAAAAACGGATAATATTTATATATATATATATACACCTTTTTTTTTTTTATTGAACATTATTCATCCGATGCCAAATCGAACGGGGATCACTCGGGGCGGCTGCGGCCGTACAATGTCAAATGATAATCGTCCAATAATAATATTATTATAATAACATACAGGTCTATACGTCTGGTATTCTACCACCAATATCTACTCTATTATATACGTAGGTAGAGGTATACATAAATAAATTAAAGCTCGGCGTTCATCATTCGTGTTCGTGCATTTCTAATCAATCAATATAATAATAATCATATTGTGTATGATAATGTTTTATATTTTTCCTATGCGAGGTTTTATTTTTTATTAACGTTATTATTTTATATCTTAGACGGCGAGAGGGGAGAGGGGACGGGGATAATTATACGTTTCGATTTTAAATGGGGAAAAAATGGTCCGGACCTATACGCTCAAATGGGTGTACCGATATTATATTATGTTCTTGTTCGACGACGGTGTTATCTCTCTCCTGGTCTCCCGTATGGCCGGGATAAGTATGTATTTATTTTTTTTTTCTCGTATAGAAATTATTATTTTCCGCCTTTCTTATATATACACACACACACACGAACGACTATAAAATATAATTTATAGCCGTTTTATTCATATTATGAAAATCATCAGCAGTATGTTTTTGTTGTTGTTCGATTCCAGAGCGACGGCATTTTTTCATTACATTATTACCTCAGCCGTTCTGGACTTGGATATCGATCAAACGATTACACGTCGGTGATTGTGTAATGATGATGATCCATTCCACTTGCCGGATGGTTTTTTAATGTTTCTCCTCAAAACTCCAAACACTCGTTCGGTACGATAATCGTTTACATGTTACACAAAATATTATACATTATTATAATACCTAGCTCTATATATTCTTGGCCGTGCATCAGCGCCAATCGACACCGACCACCCGGTTGCAATTTTGTAATATGCATATGGACTCTGGGCATAAAACACAATGATTAGAATATTATTAGTCATTATTGTGTTATATTATTCAAACGACGTCCGTATAGAACCAGATGATACTATATAGTACATGATCGATTTCTAAGTGGTACGGTTAGACGTAAGAATCTGATAATCGATTACAAACACTCGCCAATATTGTTATTGTGCCGTCTTGGCTATTTTAGTTTAGTGTAGTCATCCAAGTCGTTTACTAGCATGGTATACATAAATGATATTGTTACACAATCATTCTCACGTGTGTTACATAACGAGAATATTATAAAATGATTTTGATTTAAATCTTTGTCAGATACATATTGATCATATCACAGTGTATTACTTCTCATAAATAGTTGTTTGATACATATACATAGTAATAGTTTAAATTGTATTTATTCGATTATTAATAAATACTCCAAACAGAATTATTGTAGAACTTGCACAAGCGGGATAACTTATTTAATAATAACTTAGAGAAAACACTATGAAAACTATTAACAATTAATTTGTATTATACATTTCGTGATTGTTAACTGAAAATATAGCCTTATGGCTTTTAAACAAATTCATACAAGGCTGTCTCTTGTTATGACGACGGAAGTACTTTATCGAGTTTCCTAGAATTATTTTTATTTAATGATTTACCTATAAATAATTATTCATTTGATTGTTCTACAAAATGAAAAATAATCATAGAGTTTACCACGAAATACAGTAAAATAAATTACTGACAATATATTTGATTTATGTAAAAGTACTGCTACTTTATTCATCTTGCAAAAAACAACAACCATAATATAATAGTTAGTATAGTAGGTAGCTTAACTTTAATTACATTAGTTAACATAATAATTATATATTGACTTACTATTTTAATAGTCTTTTTTTTTAATTATCTTATTTTATTTTAGTTATAAATCATAATTCATTAGTTACTCAAAGCATTATACCTTAATATTTACTAAAAACAAATGTTCGTATTTTATTCAATCGTATCCCATTTAAAATAAAATAATGCCCTTGCTATTCGCAACATTACATTGCTAATTTGGACAGTAATATTTAAATTTATTGATGCGATGAAAAGCTGTTTTTATGATTCTAAGGCTATAGCGTTTTTCAACCATCGTATTTTATAGTTCTAGAATAATTTATAGAATTGACACTTATAATATACGAGGGAGCGGATTTAATGACTTTCTAAGAAACGGTAAATAACAGCACAGTAAAGACTATAGCTCAGTATTACAACCAAGAAGAGTATACAATAATGTACCATATTATATACATTTCCTTAAAATAAAACATTTTATTTTTATTACACTAGTCGAAATTAGAAATTTCAAATTTTTAATCTAAGACCGTTTATATTACAGCTAAATCACAAAATAAAAAGTTATAATTTGGCATCCTACTCAAAAACAATTTTAAAAACATCAATTTGTTTTTCTATATTGGGGTTCCCCTACGGTTTACTCCATGTCTGAATATATAAACAGAATTCATACAGACAAACATGACGTGTGTTTTGTATATAAATGTAATCGTAGGGTTTTCACTCGGACGATCGCTTCTGATGACATGATTTGTGCGATAAACCTACCGTAAAGGGTAGTCCAGAGTGGTGTCAGTACATTAATATTTAATATACCGTTGGCGCCGTATGACGATGGTTATTGAATTCGTACGCAACCATCCGGATCAGTTGGATAAATTTCGGACCCTGCCGCTGGACACACGTAATATTATTATAGTCATTGTAGACAGAGAATTTTGAAATTATTTTAGCAAAAAAAAAAAATGTCTAGAAACGTATGAAAACCGTCTGGAATACATAATAGTAGCTCATAGGTTTGACCAGAAGCCTTAGGACAGATTTTTTAAATCTACTTTTTATCCAGTTTAAACGAAAAAATATGGACAGATAAATTATGGTCTTCTTTATAAATGTATCTTCTAAGAAAAGATTATTAAAAATAGTTAAAATATAATTATAATACAGTCTTAGATTCATTGACTCCGGCACTCGTTGAACAGCTTGATTTCTTTTCTTCGTTATTTCACAACCTAATATATTTCTCTCATCCGTAGGTACAGGCTATCCGCGTTCGCCATTGGAATAAATTATATTTTATCGCTTACAATAATTCTCGATGTAATGAAAAAAAAACTCGATTACGATTGGAATTCGTCAATGGCCGTCTTGATTGTAATTATGATTAAAACAAAAAAAAAAAAACCTATAAGAAAACGCATTTGGACAGGTGCGCGATGTGGCTCGCCACCAGTCTTTCCATTGCCGGAAGGTCGACCCGCCATGTAATACTCACGCCTACCCTGAACCGGCCTAGCGATAGTCTTCTGAACACCCATTTTATTTTCTCAATAGTCGTGGGCCATAATACGGTTACGATATGCGGTTAAGTATGAAATTTGTATCGCTGGAGAAATAATTTAAATCTGATTGAAAGGTTACCTCATTTTTATCTAACATAACAGCACAAAAATCTTGTAAGTTACAGCGAAATCATGTTACTAAAAAAAAAAGTATTTTTCAGACTAGTTGTTTTCTATATATCAAATTATTATTTTTATTTGTTGTAGATCTGTCGACATATCTTTTCGTGCTGAAAAATAAGTCTTTATTTTATCAGTATAGTAATGAAGTTCACATACTTCATTATAAAAAGATGCAAATTTTTATATTATAATAACCAAATTCAATTGTATTTCCGAATTATGTATCAATAATTTTGAAAGTACTCGCTTTATTTATTATCGTATTATTGTTTTATTTCAGAATGTATAATGTACACTTAAATCCAATTGCGCTTATTTCTATACACGTTAACTTTAGCGGCTAAACTCATTA